CAGTTAACCAATGCCAGCGAGGCGTTGGCTGTTGTGGCACTTTATAAATAAAGCTGAACTGAATTGAACTGTGAATCCTTTTTTATTATCTCATTATTTCATCATAGTTTTTTGTTTACATGCACTCTCAACAGCCTCTTTAGAACCGTCTACAAGGCTTAAAAGGAAGACCCACTTTATCTCCTTCCCCCTGTTTTCCACACTATACTCTCACTGCATCCTTTCTGTAGCTTTGCCAGTTTTCCTCCTGAGTCAACACGTATCTGCTTTTCTGTTGGACTCAGTGTCATCCAATCCCTCTCCTGTCCCCACTTCTCTCCCCGTCTTTCATCTCGTGCTTTCTCAAATGTTCTCTTGTAGCTAATGTCAAGGGCCCAGCAGGAATCAAACAGGTTCCATCTGTTGCCATGTCAACCTTCCAAGAATCAGCAGTAGAGCAGTTTGATCTATTAAATATAATCAGACAGCATAAATGTCCCATTTGTACGTTACATTCCAGACATGCGTCTACTGCAGAGAGACTTTTAGATTAGACAGTTACCCGATCAGTCACCAGTAAGTGGTGCAGCTCGTCCTCTGTGACATCGGTTAGAAAGGGTGGCCGACGTCCCCCCTGTGAAGGCTGGGTAAGTGAGTGTCTGCTCAGAAACATCTGGGAAGCTTTTCCCGGGATCTCACCTGCTCAGCCTTCTGGTGAAAGACGGACGACATGGCCAGGATGGTGGAGCGTTCGTCAAGTGCAGCAGCAAAGCTTTTCCAGTCCTGATCCAGCTGTCCTGAGATCTGTTTAATCTGAGCGGAGGCGTAGTGGCCGGCCTCGGCCAGACGACTCGCCACCGACATGATTCTGTTGATGTTTACGTAGGCATTCTGGGAAGAAAGAGCCTCCATCAAAAGACTGCTGCTCCAACTGTCAGCAGTTTGCACAGAAATTAAACCAGTTGACCTAATGCTGCCAGTCATTTTTACAGCACGATAAATGAGGTTTGCAAAGAACTACGAAGGTGTTGTGTACCATGGAGTTCATGGCAAAGTGATTGTGTTGAGTCTGCAGCTCCACAGCGTGCTGGTAACCTCGGCCGATCTCCGTGTGGCTCTGCAGGAACAATTCCTTATTGTGGCTGATCCAGTCAAACATCTGCAGGCAGACCACACAGCAGATCAATGATTCACAGCACATGTAAACTCGCGATAATACGAAACATTATCAGTAATGCACCGAATGCCTCGAAACCCAAAGACTTCAGTGCAGACATGCGTTCGTCTACAGTGTGGAAAGTTAAGAAAAAGTTACCCTGAAGGACGATGAAGAAGTCATCCTTTCACGCAGATACGGGTTGGTTATTGTGCTGCGCGGTAACCACGGCAACCGAGACACAGCCATTTTTCTTGCAGCGTTTTCCACAAAACAAACGCCTCGTCAGACCTGAATGTTTTCCCGGCCCGACCGCGAGAGCTGAGTGATTCCCGGCGTAAATGGGTCCGCACGCCCCCACGGTGCCTCGCTGTGACAACGCTGATGTGGACAAAAACCTTCTCTTTTTTCTCTCTGTTTGCTTTACGGTAAATATTTATCTGCGTGTGGATTTCTGTATGGAGCAGCAGAGCAAGCCGCCAGTGTGTGTCTGTCTGTGCGAGAGGGGAGCTTTTATGCTCCCATCAACAACACACAGCTCTGTTATCAGGAGGCAGAGGTACAAGCTGACAGTAAGATATTATAAACTGTGCCTCCATGAACATAATAACTGCAGCTTTCGTAGTAATTACTGTACTTTAATGTAGCAGGACCTGCCTGTGAGCCCTCTGCCGTTTCACCTGCACAACAGTGAGGCCAGTCTTTGCATCACCGAGCAGAATAACAACTAAAGTAAGTCATAATAATCACCTTTGCCTTTGAATAATAATAATAATAATAGCGCTTTT